TGCATAATTTGTGTTAAATTCTACTCAAATCCTACTACCATAAAACCTCTTAGTGTAATATAAGTGAGATTACCTGATTACAGGGTAGTCATCTCCTTCAAACAGTATGAGCATTTATTTTTCTTTATTTTTGTATTATTTTTCATTTTCAACTACTTATTTATTATTTCTTATGAGCTAGTTTAATGCTATTGATTGTAGTAAAAGAAAATGTGTTGAAATTTTGATTTATGAAAATCAATTTGTTTGCTTGCTATCAATTTGTTCATAAATTCTTGCATAATTTCTTAGAAATTTAAGATCATTTCATTATCGATTGGGCTTAAAGTCTACTATCACCTATTTTCATTGAAAATAAATGAGTTGTTGAATTCTCAATTTTGTTTGCATGGAAACATATTACATGTCATGTTCATTGAATTAGGAAACTCTAATCTTGAGTGGCCAAGAAATAGGATTAGAATAATGCTTGTATATCAGACCCTTCATGATAATCAATGCATATTGCCTAGAAGAAAAAAGGTAGTAAGGAGTTCATTTGAAACTCCACAATGCATCTCCTTCGAACGATATGAGGATAAATTTTTCTTTATTTTTCTTTCTTTTTTTCATTTTCCACTACTTTATTACTTATTATGAGCTCATTTTATGCTATTGATCATAGTAAAAAAAATGTTTGAAAATTTGATTTTATGAATGTTGAGAAAATTAGGGCGAAGAAAAACAGTAATCGACACAAATCCAGAAGAACACAGAGATTTAACGAGGTTCGGCAAAGATGTCTACGTCCTCGGGAGCAGAGCGGCGACCTTCTTTTCAATATTCAGAAAAGATTACAGAATAGAATATTCAGCTCTCTCAAATACAAACATGTCTATTTATAATCCTAGAGTAAACCCTACAGTACAATATATAATTCCCAAATTACCCCTGTACCGTATAGCGGGGCGTTGACCCAACACCTCCAACCCACATAACGTAACTTCCCGATTTGGACAGATTCTTCCGCTTCGCTCCGCTCTGCTCCGCTTCGTTCCAGCGTATGTCCCTATATGGTATATGAGTCATACCATAACAAATCTCCACCTTGGCGAATATACAGCCCCTTAGGAGAAAAGCTACCTGGGAGTTATACTTGCACCAATGTGGGTTGGGCCACCATACTTCTGTTGCGCCCTCGCTCATCTCAACCCACTAAATTCCAAGAGACACACCTCTTCAATTCCAAGAGACCAAATTCTGGTATTATGAGTCATACCTAACAATTCTCCACCTTGGCGAATATCCAGCCCTTTAGGAATAAATCTCCACCTTGTGAATATCCTGCCCCTTAGGAGAAATATCTTCATCTTGCGAATATTCTGCCCCTTAGGAGAAAATCTCCACCTTGCGAATATCC